CTTCTTCTTCTTCTCTCTTTCTTCTTCTTCTTCTTTTCTTCTTTTCTCTTTTTCTTCTTCTTCTTTTCTTCTTCTTTCTTCTTTTCATCCCTTCTTCTTTTCTTCTTCTTCTTCTTCTTCTTCTTCTTCTTCTTCTTCTTCTTCTTCTCTTCTTCTTCTTCTTCTTCTTCTTCTTCTTCTTCTTCTTCTTCTTCTTCTTCTTCTTCTTCTTCTTCTTCTTCTTCTTCTTCTGCTTCTTCTTCTTCTTCTTCTTCTTCTTCTTCTTCTTCTTCTTCTTCTTCTTCTTCTTCTTCTTCTTCTTCTTCTTCTTCTTCTTCTTCTCTTCTTTCTTCTTCTTCTTCTTCTTCTTCTTCTTCTTCTTCTTCTTCTTCTTCTTCTTTTCTTCTTCTTCTTCTTCTTCTTCTTCTTCTTCTTCTTCTCTTCTTCTTCTTCTTCTTCTTCTTCTTTCTTCTTCTTCTTCTTCTTCTTCTTCTTCTTCTTCTTCTTCTTCTTCTTCTTCTTCTTCTTCTTCTTCTTCTTCTTCTTCTTCTTCTTCTTCTTCTTCTTCTTCTCTTCTTCTTCTTCTTCTTCTTCTTCTTCTTCTTCTTCTTCTTCTTCTTCTTCTTCTTCTTACATTTTTGCATCTGAGTATCTAGACTGAAAAATAATTAAGGGATATTGATAATGTAATGTGCATTGAGTGTTGATTACTTTTTTTAACTTGAGCAACATGACAGACATTATGAATTGTAGTTATAGAATGTTATTAGTGCAACTTTGGAATATGATGTAAATTGTTAACACATTTACTTTGTAATTCACTGTTAAATGATCAAAAGATATTGACTGGTATACAAGTATGACTCAGATTGCTATATTTTTGATAGATTAATTATTGTGTGGAGAACCATGATATTAGCTTTTCTTTTATATATCATCAGTTCCATTTTGCGTTTGTTACAGGGTCTTTACGGACGTGATCAATTCTCTCCAGGGATTTTCCATTTTCATTATATTCATCTGTAAGAAGAATATGCTGAAGAAGGTAAGTGATTTCCTTCCCAGTAATGATAAAATGCCAGAAAAGCATGATAACATAATCTTATTTATAATAATCATGAGACACTATATAAGTACAAAGCCTTTTTTGGTATACCAGGGCAGATCAGTGTAATAATCATGCTGTTCAAGATATATACAGTGAAGGAGTTTGTAACTGATCTTTTTTTGATAAGTAGTAAGAGCAGTGAGGGTTTGACTGTTATTTTGGTCCTGATTGTTGATTCTGTGGAATACATCCTGTCCCTGTCAGTGATAAGGGGCATATTATGCTCCATCTAGTGATAAGCCAAAGGCAACCCGGGGTTTATAACAAAACTTCTGTTCTTGTGTTTTATGACTGCTTGTTTTTTATATAAATTTATTTTGAATAATATGTTGCAACTGCTGTTTTCACTTATGATTATATTTTGCATTTATGTTTTTTACTGTATCTTAAAAAAAAAAAAAACCATCTGATATTGTGTAGTTGGATGTTGTGAAAAATAGAATAAAATCAAAATATGATTAATGTTTTGGTTAAATGCTTTTCATGGATATAAAAAATAATTTTAGTTATCAGACAGATATTACATCACAAGACATAAGGTACATTTATAGAGTTTCAGATAATTAAGAGTTGCCTCATAATGCTACATACAGTCTATTACAGTGAAGTAAGCAGATGTGAAGTGAAATAGGTAAAGATGTAATTTTTTGCTTACTTCCTTTTTAGTATTGATCTCATTATCCACTGTTTCAACCATCTAAAGTCATAAAAAAATGGAGGATGGAAAGAACAAAAGAAAGACAGTGGTTGATACAAAAGACAAAATTTTTAGATGAACATTACCGCATTACAGTTTTTTTCTGCACTGACTGATGTACATGTGATGTCATTATACTATTTCAAAGCTTCAAGTGGGTTTCATATTTCGAAGTAATAATGTATTTGAAAATGCAAGTCCAGTTACTTTAACTTGATGGAATGAGCACCATTTTCTCATCCATTTTTCCAGATTCGCAGCAAGTGGGATCCCTATCTCCGGCGCATGAAGGAAATGGTTGGATCAACTCGGCTGTCTCACTCTGGTACGGCCCATACATCTCAAGTTCATTCTTCCTTCAGTTCGACAAGCAACAGACCAAACCATTCGGCTGCATCACAGAGGACAGTGCAAAGCCAGATATCCATTGACCCCACATCATCAACAAGGTAAGTAGGAGTATATTATAAGGATAATCAATAGATAATCCATGAAATTGTGCTTACTTATAGAAAAATGATTTCCTATATTTCAAATAATTTTTTGTGGATTGAATTTTTATACTATACGATTTTCTATTTTCAATATTTCAGAAGGCTGTCTGCCAGTTCCCTCTCCCCTGTCACAGGTGTGCAGGTTCACAGCCAGAACAAAATTGCAATGAACACTATTGCTGAGAGCTCGAATGAACAAGAAAGTAATAATGCTATTGGGAACTTCCCCACTACTGATGTCTCAAATCCTGTGCCACAGAGACTGAGTTCATCAGGTAGTGGAAATAACACAGTTGATGGGACTTCAGTGATGGTCGCAGGTATACCAAGTAGCACTGTTAACCCCTCTGATGTTTCTGTTGAAGAATCTGGAAAGCCACCTCACCTCAAAGACATCACTGAAGAACCTATGCCAGTTACAACAAGGGACAGCAAAATCTCTATACCAGATGAAGATGAAGGAAAAGATCAGGGACATGAAAATGAAGTACAATCTCCTAATAAACTGACTCAGTCTCTGACACCTAACAGGATGCAGACACCAGCAAGTGACGCAGTTTATTTAAGTGATGAGTCAAAGTGTACAGCAGTAAATGACTCTAGGTCTCCTGACACGAGGCCTGTTTCATCGTCAGGGAGCAGTGATGAAGACCCTATTACCATTAATGGAGAAATACCTCAGAAGATTGAGGACGGGGTATCACATCCTGTGAATGAAGCTACTGTTGTGAGAGTAAGTTCTCCAACCCCAGAACTCTCACCATCTGAGAAGGTTATTAAAGACCATGCAGAAATAAATGATTCTGAACTAAAGAGTGAAGAGAAAAAAGAAGGGTCACACAACATCTTAGGACCTCATGAGCATCAAGAAACAAAGGATCTTAGTCTGTATGATTATGGTGATGAAGAACCAGTGAATGTCTGACAAGGTCCCTTGTAAAGACAATGTACCTGCGATTTGATTCAAATATCAAAACATGTACGTGCAAGACATGTAATGAAGACATCCCATGAACTGATGTAGATAATAGAGAATTTAGAAATTGGAATAAAAAAGATTGGGAAAAGTTGAATATCATGTAATAAGTTGATTATGCAAGGGTATAATCTCCTGATCTCTGATTTTTACTGAAAGTGTTATGAGAAAACATAGAGAGACTGAAATCTGAATGTGGGTGTATAGCAAGATGTATTGACTCTGTAATCAGAAATGTTAATAGATTTTTAAAAAAGGATCCTTTCAGTATATTAATGTTGCCATAAGATTCGTCATTGGAAAATATATTTGACTTGAAAATGTAACTTCCCTCTCAAAATAATTATCCAAATAATGCAATATTATTTTTTGAGAAAGATTAAACCATAATGACATTTAAAATGAGAAAAGAAAACATTAGTGCACATTATGTACAATAATGACATTATGAAATGAAAAAAAATTGAGTAATAGTGACATTATAAGATGAAAAACAGTTAAGCAATGGTGACATTAGAAGTTATGGTTAATTTTTAACTTGAATGTGGATATACTGGCAGTCTTTCCAGCATAATGGATAATATCAGAAGGAAATTCAGAAGTGCCAGAATGTGTGTAGCCACTCATGCACAAGGACACGAGTACTATTATTCACTGGATCATACTGCACATTGATGTTAATAATATCAGCTGTTTTACTGTAATGGAGATGATGGAAAACTCTGATGGGCAAGGCTAAGTATTTATTAACAACTGGTAATACTTAGTATGGGATACTTACATGTAAATTATATAAGTTAGTAAGGGTGTGTTAAACAAAATGTGTGTGTATATGCATTACATACAAAATAGTCTGTATTAGAAGAGTGTATATAGAGTGTTATTTGTAGGTTATATCTATTTGGAATTAATTATAAAGTGCACATGATGTGTGGTAAAGTGAAAGTGTTCCCCGCTCTAATTACTCATTCTACTCTCGTTCACTATGATATCAAAATAAAGTTTAGGAATATGATGACACACACAACACACACACACACACACACACACACACACACACACACACACACACACACACACACACACACACACACACACACACACACACACACACACAACACACACACACACACACACACACACACACACACACACACACTGTATTTGCAGAAGTTTAACATATCGAAATATGTGTACATTGTGTGATGAGTACAAATTAGATGTAAATGAAGAATTTATAAATATTTTTTCATCGCCCTCCACAAAAAAAACACTGTACGAGGTGTATTGTCTTGTAAATGAATTTAAAGTGAGTTTGAAACTAACTTATACTTGACTAGAAACACTTCATATTTTTTATGCTAATATTTTCTCATGTGATTTCAATTTTTCTTAGAGTTGCACAAAATATAACACTGTCCATGTAAAGAGAAATGATATTTTTTTGCTTATTGAAAGGTAACCAAAGAAATACTTCAGAACTTATTTTAAGCCATATGTGCAACCATCACTTTTGTTTGCTGTATAACTGTTTTATTTGCTTATGTGTGGTACAGTACTTGTGTGAAGGTACTATATTTTTTACAGATTTGCTCAAACACTTTCAAGGATGGCATGCATTGTGTTTCATATGATATTTACAAGTAGTAGCGGTGAAGATGCGTTGTTAATATGACATCATTTATAAGACGAAAGAATGTTTAACTATTGAGAGAGTTAATAAGCTAATAATAACTTAATAAGTTCATAATAACTTAATAAGCTGGAAATGATTTGTTCAGAAACCTATTCATATTAGATCTTTATAATAGTGTTTCAGCTTTGAACAACAAACTTACAGACATATAACTATTGATTTATTATTTCAGTTTAAAAAGTCACAAAATTTAAAGAATAAATGTTCTCATAATTTGTTCTGTATGTACTCTATAATATTATTCAACCTGAGGTCATTACAGTGTTATCCTTTAAAGGACAAAATGCAACAAATATCAATCTCAAGTACTAGTGCACATTGGATGAACATGGCAAAGCTACCAGAAATAATGTCCAAAATGTTCATACTGTAATCAAAATTTTAAATGAACTGAAATAACTGTGTTGCCATTGTGTGGGCACATGAAGCTTAGAATTCTGTAAATATTAATGAACAAAAAGGTACAGATAATGGAAAAGATTTTGCTAGCGGCAAAAAATAGAAAAGTATTTTTATATATTTTACTATACTAACCGGGCAGTGAAAGGACTGGCCTTTGATTGCACTGGTGATTCTGGAAGATTCTGATATAGTTAGCTATTACAATTGTATGATCAGTGTATAATCAGATTAGAGGGTCATATGTATGTTTTTTAAAGTATATATATATTATATATATATATATATATATATTATATATATATATATATATATATATATATATATATATATATAATATGTAATATAGTAAACATTTCACTTTTAGATTTCAGGGCGATGTTTACTGAAGTTCTGTTTAGGCAATTTGATTTTATAGTTATGTGAAGACAAATACTTTCAGGACATGTACATGTAAGATAGTATATTACCACTATTATGTTGTATATTTCTTAATTGTATATTAATGTTGGAAATCACAGGGAGTGTCTCTTGATGCTTATATAGCTGAAATTAAGGAGGATGGTTGCTTTTATCCTTCTATGTAAGATTTCACAGAAGTAATTCCTCTATGAAACAGCGCTTGGGTTCAGTATGATTTGTAATTTGATATTTGACATTTCCATGTTCAATTTTATGAATTATATATATTTATATAATATATATATATATAGTATATATATGTATATATGTATATATATTATATATGTATTATATATGTATATTATTGTATATATATGTATATATATATGTATATATATATGTATATATATGTAATATATGTATATATGTATATATATGTATATATGTATATATGTATATATATATATATATATTATATATATATATTATATATATTATTTTATATATATATATCACACAACACACACACACACACACACACCACACACCACACAACACACCCACAACACACAACCGACACACACCACACACAACACACCCCCACAGACACACCTACACCACACCACACACATCCACTCCCAACCTCACGAGAGTCAGACATAATGAGAGAGGACTCGGCGTGCGCGACTCACTCGGTTCGGAATAGGAGGGCGCGCAAGAACGGATATTATGATATACATTAGTGACAATGGCATTTAGCAGTACACTAGGAGAGGTAAGTAGAGGGACATAGGCTATAGTTTTGTGCGGACTTTAGATAGTGCCTGTTGATATAGTCAGCCATAGATTGGGATAGGGATGAACAATGTAGTAATCATAAATTATATTATTGAGATCTAGATGAATAATGAGCGTTGCATTTTGTAGGAAATAGTTAAGATAGATGTGGAGGAGTGAGAATCGGTGTTCTATTTAACATTGGATCTTCTAGGATGACTTATTTAGTAGAGCGATCATGTGGTTAAGAGGTGACGAGGTGTGAAGCGAACTGTCGATCGTATCTTAATTAGAATGCAGCATAGTTGTTTACGTGAATCGTATATATATGATGCTAGTCGTGTCTATAGATGCGTGTGATGTGTAATGAATGTGTGAGTTGTGTGATGGTTTCGTGGTGTGTGTGTATGTGTGTGTGTTCTAGTGTGTGTATTATGTAGATGTGTGTGTCGCTAGTGTATGGATGTGAGATTGTGTTGCGTGGTGGATAGTGGTAGGATTGTGTGTGGATGGTGTGTTGTGTGTTGTTGGTGTCTGTGGAGTAAATATATATATATTTGTAGTCCATATTGTGAATTGGTTATGTAGTATTATATATAGTTATGATTGTTGATCTATCTGGTCTATCTTCTATCTATCTAGTCTAGTTATCTATCAATCATCTATATATGGTGATGATTATAGTATAGTGTAGGTACAACTGGTAAGCTTTTATGATTAAATCATAGCGCGGTGTGTATGATTTGGTAAGTTAATACGTGAGTGAAGTAACGAGTGAGCTGTGGTGTATAATATGTATGTAGCATGAATTTTATGATATAGTGGTAAGGTGTTATATCTGTTTGTGCTCAGGTGGAACGGTACGTGGTATCAGTCAGGATAATAAGGTGATTGTGTAGATATATATATCGACATAGAGATACATGAGCTAACTGCTAGGCTCATGAGAGATTGTTAAGCTATAGGAGTAGGGAGCTGTATGTAGTAGAGGTGATGAGGAGTGCGAATAGCGAGATGAGTAAGAGTGCGATCCCTCTGATTAGAGTCGGGGTGGCTGAAGATCGGATCCGAATCAGAGGGCTCTGTGGTAAGAATTCGGGATGGCTGGGCAGAGGGGAGAAGAGACGGAGTCGATAGTACCAGTACGCAGCGAGTTCGCTCCAGTATCTGGCAGTGGGCGGAAGAAGAGGGGGGATAAAGTTGGCAGGTTTATGTATGGGTATATATTTATAGTAGTGATAGGTCAGTATATATTATGATTATATGAGGAATATAGTAGTTATACTAGGATAGTATAGGATATAATAGGTAGGCATATATTATGATAGTGATATCAGTTATAATATATAGTATATAGGAGTAGTACTTGTAGTAAGGATATATTACTAGTATAGTATATAATATAGTATACGCATACATACTGACTATATATTGTAATCAAATATTATATTATTATATTATAGAAGTTGCATACATATATAATTATATTAGTCTTTAGCAGTATTATATTGAATAGTAGTATAATAGTATAGTACGATTCGTAGTAGCTGTGAGTTGGCGTATATAGTGTATTGTGTTTAGGTATATACAGTAGTATATGATTATATATACATATACATATATTTAGCACATAGCATTACATATTCATATGACAATCATATACATCCATATACATATTAGTAGTATAGTACTATATTGATAGTGTATAGTAGTATATTAGTATATTAGATAGTAATGTATATATATTATAAATATAATGGGTATATATAGATTATTAGTATAGAGTATAGTTATGGTATATTATAGTAGTTTATATATTGATATGTGAGTAGTATACTAGGATATATAGTGAGTGAGTAGGGTATATTAGGTAGGCGTAGTATGTATGTTTACATGTAATACGGGTAGATACATAGTATGATAGTCTTATATAGTAGACTATATATGTAGATGTATGGGGGCGATATAGTGATTAATATGACTTATATAGGATTGTATAGTATATGGGGTAGTGATATAGTAATATATATATAATAATGTATATATATATATATAATATAACTATATATAGTAAATTAACATAACTTCCTAGAGAACCAGTATTCGTATTTTGATGAACAACAAACTGTCAGATGATTCCATGGTATGAGATGAAATACCATTCTTTATATGAAGATTTAAAGGATCTTTATATTAGAGTTTTGTTGATTATCAATATTTTCTTTTTGAAAGAGAAATTGATGTTGTCTGAATTGTTAATTTAGATAGTCAATGTTGTTATCGATATGCTTTTGTGACATATATAGATTACAAGTTACACTGAATGTGAATTAGATGTCATATGTCATATGTCATATTAAAGAATGTTGTGCCATGAATTTCGAGTTAATATCCATAGTTTCATTTATACTCTTTATGCACTGGAATTGATTTTATGACAAAATGAAAAACTAGAATGACCACTGTTTTTAGTTTCTCTTTTGTCATCTGGTATAAAATGTCTTACCGCCACTACTTACACCAGTCTTCAAAATTGAAACCCCAAAATATGAAAATGAAGATTAATAAATGTAAAAAAGACAAAGATCAGAAGTTCACAAAGGATCTCGGACCTAAACCATTTTTTTTTTGCTATTTGTGTTTCTTTCGCTGCTTGCAATGGACTTTTGTATACCATTGGAGATCTACCTATCGCAATATTTAATTATTTTTGAATCGTCTTTGGTGATCATTTTGTGTAAA